CCTTTAGTACTGGCCAGTGTTTTCATATACTGTTGACAATATTCAATTCCAAAATCAGCTAATTTTTTTCATCCCATGGTCGGATCAGCGGGGATAGTGGTCAGCTTGTGTCTACTGCACTTGTGCCCACGCGCGCGTATGTGTGCGAGCCCGTGTCTGCAGTGTAGTAGTGCCTGCCACCCTGTTGTTATGAAGGGTTCCATGTGGTTGTCACAGTGCCCCCCCCCCCTGTGTGTCGTAAACACTGACCGTAATAAATGTTACAACCGACCACTTCACTGTTTCACCAACGTATTCATTCCTTTTCGAAATGAAATTGTCACTTTCATAGAAATTATGAATTGATCGTCAATACCTGCACTGTTTTCCCGATGGGAGATTGCTGTTAAGTCCTGAGGCAAAGTAGTTGAGAGGAGAGGTGAGTCGACAAGAGACTGGTAGCTTACCCAAAAGAAGCGCCCTAACGGTAGCTGCCAACAGCATGGTGGGTGGATACTAAGTTTTTGTGTGTTATGATTTGTATGTGTACGTCAATATATTTTGTTTATTCATTTATATCACAGCACCGACAGTCCCTCCCCACGAATGGGGATCCTTGGAGCCCTTCCCCGCCAGACGAGGGTTGCGTCCCACCATGGCGGCGGCGTATCACCACCTGCAGCACACGGTTTCAACACCACGTGTGGCAGAAAACACCAGTAGCAAAACACCGCAACACACTCACCCTAGGAGAGCCTCCTGGCACGTTTACCCTACTGAAATGATCGGCGCCCTCCCTCACACCAGGATCATTTCTGAGTCATCCTGCGATCACTCCTGCAGGTAAGATGCACCTTGCGGGTAGATTCGTGTATGAATGAAGATGTTATCAGATTCATTTCCTCATAAGATGGAAGGATTAGGTTCCATCGTACAAATGTCCTTTTGCACTCAACAATACATGAGTAACCCACCAGGTGCACTTACCGATGTCAGAGCAACATTTAGGTAGACATTATCCTACCAAGAGGAGAGTGACGCCCCGTGGTGTTGCCAGGCCACCCACAGGTTACACTCGCTAGTAAACACAAGTTTTTGTTACAATATCCTTCGGTTTCAACTTAAATTAATTCCTCAGTTTAGTTAAATTGTGGTAAACTGTTGACTTATTTGTGTAAAGTGTTCTGTGTCAGTCTTGTAAATCGTCAACAGAAGATGAGTTCACTGAAGGAAAAAACACACAAATATGATACTGAAAATAGTTTGGTAGGTAATTATTTAGCTTATAAATATTTCTTCAGAATAATTTTTAAAAAATCAAGAAAGCAGTAGCAACCGAAAAGAGGAGAAGGAAAATACATATTTCGGCGAGATAGGTTCTCTTGAACGGTCAGAGATAAAAAGCTTGACATTAATTGACCCACAGGCAGAGTGTGTTTCAGCCAGGCAAACAATCGGATAAAAAACACTCCTTGATGTCTTCCCTCCACGCCACACAGGTACTCCCCCGTCGCTGCCCCTCTCACCCACGGTGCAAGATGTCAGGCACTACAGGCTTCCCCTAGAGTCGGCAAAATTATAGGCAGAGGAGGTTTTGGTACCGTGAAGGTTGGCTGCTTCAGAGGTTTGGTTGCAAGTCCGTGTTTGGCACTGTAATGATTTGCACAACAATAGACGTGGTGGACCAAACAGGATATAACCGTAGTTGACTAACTGTGTACTGTAGAGCACTACAGGTAGAGTATATTATGAGGTCAGTTGTAATTATTATTGTAACATGATAGTGCTTTAAGGCTGTTTAAATAGTGTATGTACAGTGTATTGGGAAAAAGTAACATTACTAACACTGCGACATCAGTTATTTGTAGTAGTAGTACCACCGGTAATAGTATTAGTGTTTTCAGATGTTCATCTTCGTCGAGCACCTCGGTCTAACATACGAGAAATGATATAGTATTTTCCTCTCTTTTTTTTTGTCTCGCATATTATATTCACAAATATATGCCATGCATCATTCATAGTGTTAGCACGAGAAAAGTAATGCAGGAAATACTGGAGCCCAGATCAATCAGATCATATATATATATATACATAGTACTGATTATGATGATAATGACCCTGCAATGAGATAGAGAAGAGGAGAGAGAGAAGGAAAGAACAGAAACGGGAAGTAAAGTAGTAGGGAGTGATACAGGTGGGCTGTCCACCTAGCTGAGTCGAGGTGATTGGTTGGGGTGGAGGCCAAATACAGCAGTCGTTGTTGACTGTGTGCTGGGTTTGTTTTGGCAAGGTGAATGATCTTTAGTTTCTGCGTATTAGTTTGGATATTCAACTATTCTTTCTTTTTCCGTAATCGTTAATTTACTCGATGACGTAGGCTGTTTTTCGTGCCATCATCTGTTTGGCCTTGCCTGGATGTCGAATGATGTCATCGGCATAGGCTATGTATTCTCCTTGGGTAGGAGGTGACATGTCCTACGTGCAGAACATGTAGTGTTGGTAAACGGGTACTTCCGTGTGGTACTCCGCTGTACAGAATAACTTGATGCGTGGGTCTATGTGGTTACTAATGATGATTTTTGCCTCTCTCATCAAGGAAGTGACTAAGGAGTATTTATTGACAGTAAAGGAGAGTGAGATCAAGTTCTTGGTTACAAATTTTGGTAATCACAAAATTGTCCAATTTGTACATGCCATTACTCAAATCATGTTGACAGATTCGGTATGTCAACATGAATTTGAGTAATGGCAATAAAATACAGGGGATATCGGGAGGTTCTACTGTATTAGAACAAGAGTTTTGCAAATACACCGACAAGATTATCGGTGATTTTGCAAAGTGGCCGATTTTGTGTTTTTTTGTAAAATGATCAAACATTTAAGGTTATTTTGTAAAATTACTATTCTTTTGGTTCCTTGCAAATTTACCGTATAATTTGCAAAAACTCCGCTTCACAAAAAAACCCGTAACGTGTGTTTATATATATATATATATATATATATATATATATATATATATATATATATATATATATATATATATATATATATATATATATATATATAACCTGACTGAATTATATTTTATGCTTGACTGATAAAACACTGTGTAAGGGTAAGAGTCATTATCATTATCAAGAGATGTAGGAATGTTGATAGGCTTCAATACCCTCCTTATGACTAAGGTTCTCTAGATTCAAGTGTTGAGGGAGGCTCGATGCACCGGTTCCATCCCGTCAAGTGTGACTGGAGTAAAGCTGACCGGAATCAAGTACAGTATACAGAATATAAAAAGAATAAGGCTGCTTTACAGTGGATGCTGCCTTTTGTCAGAGCTGCCATGAGTTTATACAAGATAACCAATTAAGTAATTTGTGTTACAGATGGAAAACAGTATAGATTAATATGAGAGTTGCCTCGGGCAGGAGTGAAGGTCGCGGTTAAGGTGTTGAGGGGAGGAAGGGCGGCGGCGTCATGTAGCAGGGAGGCCCACGCTCTCTCCCTAGCCCCTCACGCCCACCTCGCCTCTACACATGCTATCGTTACGCCCTCGCCCACACCAGGCTACGCCCGCATCGCCTGGGCCGCCGCCTGCCTCAAGGATGTAGAAAAAAAGGTGAGAACACGTTAGCAAAAAATTACATTTCATTGTTTTAAAAATGGGTGCGGCAACTGAGTGGTTGCAGTGCTCGCTTACTGTTTTATAAGTCGCTGGTTCACCACCTTAGTTCACCCAGCTGCGAACGGGTATCTTGAGATCTGCTTTCATTCCCAAAAATTGAGGAAGTTACTTATGTTATTTATACATATTTCAGTTTTGCATTATTCATGTTATATACCTCGCATGTGTGTGTAGATCCACAATGGAAACGTGGACAAGATAAATCAAGATAAATCTATCTCTCTCTCTCTCTCTCTCTCTCTCTCTCTCTCTCTCTCTCTCTCTCTATATATATATATATATATATATATATATATATATATATATATATATATATATCATGTAGATCCACAATGAAAACGTGGATAAGATAAATCTTGATAAAATCACACAGGGAAAAGAAACAGCGGCACACTTAGCTTTCGTCTTTATTCAAGACATCTTCAGAGGCCTCTGTAGATGTCTTGAATAAAGAACAAATATATATATATATATATATATATATATATATATATATATATATATATATATATATATATTTATATTTAGTTAGTTAGTGGACCTATCACTATTCTAAGAGGATGACAAGTAATTTTAGCTTCAATGAGATATTGATTGTAGCCAACCTTTTTGGAGGTTAATCCAAAGAAGGCTTTATAAACTCTCTGTAGATGCTGGCCACCATAGCACTTCCCTCGGCACACACATTCTTCTTGAAGATATCTGTATATCCTAAGTTTCAAAGACCAAGGAAGAAGTATTCCTACAGATAGTTCCAATCTTGCAAGGTTCGTATTAAACATTTAATGCAATAGCGAGTACAACAGACAATGACGATATAGGAGTGAAGTGATCCTTTGAACTTCATTAGAGTCCTTTCTTAGTATAAAAGTCCCACTATTTTCGTAAGTTTCAAAGACTATATTTTATCTTCTTCCATGTCCCAACGACCTTATTCCTGGTTTTGTTCAGTCTTTAGTGTGCAAAGTCCTAATTTGGTAAGAGAACGGAGAATGTTGGAATACATTATTCCTTGTGTTAATTTTGGTTTGAAAACAAAGTGAACACTGGGGTTCGGAGTCTACTGACCTTAATCCTGCTCATTCGGACAAACACTGAATCTGGATTTACATGTAGAATCGATTGAATGAGATAAATTCTTAAGTATTCAGCTTTCAGCAACTACAACAAAATTCCATACAAAATGGCCTGCTAGTATGCATTTACTGTATATGCTTCCTAGGCAGTGGCAGCTGTACACTGTACAGTATGTCATAGGTACTCGTCTATTATCTCTGTTATAACTTAACAGTTACATCCATCAATCATCTCTTTCTACAGGAGAAAATTTTATCCATTGAAGAAGTAGTGTCAATGTTTTGCCTCCCCCTGGAGGATGCCAGCTGTCCTGTCAATGATGGTGAGGAGCAGGGTGGATGTGGGCGGAAGGTTGGGTGGGCGTGGGTGGTGAGTGAACTCTACACGCCCCACACCCTCCTCACGCTCATTAATGATCCCACCATGGAGCTCAGGATCATATCAAAAATCAGGTAACTCGTGTGACCATTTGTGATGTGGACTTTGTTTTACATTGATTAATGAGATGTGAGTTCCGCCAGGTTCTATATTATGGTCTCTTCCTGTATGTTCTCACTGGTAAGTTTATTACAATATGTGCTATGCCTGTGGTGCCTTTCACCATCTCACCTGAAGGCTATATATATATATATATATATATATATATATATATATATATATATATATATATATATATATATATATATATATATATATATATATATATATATATATATATATATATATATATATATATATATATATATATATATATATATATATATATATATATATATATATATATATATATATATATATATATATATGTAACCGGTCGGAATTTACTGGACTTTATTTTCTCACTTGACTTGGGGTTTATTAAAGATTAATAGATGGTAATGGCAGTGGAAGCGCCCCTTTGAGAAAAATCCCGAACCAGCACAAGAACACTTAAATCTACTAAACAAAATGAATTGTCCGTGACCTGTGGAAGGATAGCGTCTGTGACTGGGATGAATGAGACACACTGTAAAATTTAAACACTTATATTCCCTCCAACACTACAAACACAATCAAATAATGGTACACCAATATGCGCACCTCTTAACTTGAACTTAAAACACTACTCTGGGGAATAAAAGTTATACATGATATAGAAATTATTAGAAACTCGGGCAACAATAAATTTGAAGTATTAAGAAATGTTGCTTGCACACATGAAACAGGCCTTAAGGGCTTTCAACAAAATAATATCCAGCACTGAGAAAATGGTATTCAAAAATAAGAAATTAATAACTCTACAATGAATAGGCCTTAAGGGCACTCAACAAAATTATATCACCCCAACAGATGCACACTTCCTAACCTAACTTAACCACTACTCTGGGGAACAAAGGTTATACCTGAGATTGGAATTATGAAGAAAAATTCGATGCATTAAAGAATCAAATCACAGTATCACTCTGGTTCCACTTAATGACACAAACATTCAAAAAACAATACTATCAAAATTATTTAAGAAATATTAAACTACACACGTCAAGATAATATCAGTAACTGAGGAATGGTATTAACTACACCCAAATATATTGTCAATATTATTGGTTTGTTACTGGGTCCACCAATACCCGTGAACCATGCTTCCTAACCTAACACACACACAGATTCCACCTGCACTCCGTAGTCGTTTAAGGCACAACCAACAGGCACCCGTAGTTTAAGGCCCAAATCAGCCTTTCTCAACCTTGGAAAGTGTACCTCTAACTCTACTGACTCTTGGCCCCAGTGTGCGGCCCTGTATCACTCAGCTGGCCTCACTTTACCCCCAGTACATCCATGAAACGGAAGGGAGTGAGCCAATCAGACCTTGTACAGTTGAGAGAAGCTTTAGCTTCCCGTTAGCAAGAGGGTTTCACTAAGCTGCTCGAGACATGTGGTGTTGTGAGCCGAGGTAGAGGAGAGCTGATGACCCCAACGATCGTCCCGTCGTCAGCTGGGCACCCAGACGGCTAGATTCCCTCAAGAGATCCTTTGATACCCCGCTAAACAGTGACAGGCCTACACTGATCGGTCCAATGGCGACAATCGCCACCCTCAATCATCAACTGCAGTCTCAAACGGCAGTCATCACTCTCGCAGTCAAACTCCGGTCAAGTGGGTTCTGACGGAAACCCTGAAATGACCTCACTGTTAGCTCTAGTTTACTTTATCACTGCCCTATCTAAACCCTGTCTGAGATTGAATGAGACTTACTTGTTATACTGCAATAGCACAGCACAGGTGACTAGGCCACGTGACTATTTCTGTGACGGACGTGCAGGGACGTCTTGTTTGTTTGAATGCTCCCCGAGACTGAGGACCAGCCAGCGTCGCGTCTCTCCAAGGCGCTAGCTTAGGCCTACGTGACATATTTTCCGCCTAACTAATAACTCCTTGGGACACCCGTAACATTATTCAGACTGATAAACGATCTATAATAATTTCAAATTCAATAATAGTCCCTTAACTTCATGAATCACATCACTATTAATTCGGCAAATTACATTTAATATCATATAGGCCTAGTTCCACAACCTCCCACTATGTGCGGGGAGCGCTCTCTTCCCTCAGACGACCTTGAACGCTCAGTATCGCTAATGGCGGGGCATTTGAAATTTCTGAATATATATATGTATATATATATATATATATATATATATATATATATATATATATATATATATATGTATATATATATATATATATGTATATATATGTATATATATGCTGATAACCACAAGGAAAGAAGAAAACACGAAGTTCCCAAGCGCTTTCGTGTAATTCACATCTTCAGGGGTGAGTACAGACTAAAGAGTAGTACAAAACAAGGTGTATATATACAGAGGAGGGTGAGACCAGGTCCACAATGGTCAGGAATTAGGTAATGACCCTACTAATCTTTAAATAGCACGGCAACGGTCGGTAGTCAGGTCAGAGGGTAAGGTGACCCAACCTTCTCACCTGGTTACAAATCTTCTTAATTACAAAATTGTCCAGTTTGTACATGCCAGTACTCAAATTCATGTTGAATGCTTCGGTATGTTTAATGAGACTAGATTCTATGATGTTCCTACTATCAATTGAATTACAAGGTAATATTGAGGAGGCATTATCCCAGTCAATGCAATGCTTGTTGTCCCTCAAATGAACAAACAGAGCATTGGATTCCTGGCCTGTCCTAACTTCGTGTTTTCTTCTTTCTTTGTGGTTATCAGCATATACCTAGATCACGCGCATCTACAGTGATTTACTTGCATGTATATATATATATATATATATATATATATATATATATATATATATATATATATATATATATATATATATATTTCATGTAAATCCACAATGAAAACGTGGATAAGATAAATCTTGATAAAATCACACGGGAAAATGGAAACAACGGAGTACCTTGCCTCTGAAGATGTCTTGAATAAAGACGAAAGCTAAGGTACTCCGTTGTTTCCATTTTCCCGTGTGATTTTATCAAGATATGTATATATATGTATATATATGTATATATATATATATATATATGTATATATATATTTGCGGCTCTTTCGCTAGGCCACGGTAGGACGCCACCCTCCGGGAGGGTCCACATTGTCTCACCGTAGTGCATTAAGGTGTCTGCTTTGATCCTGACTTTGTACTCATCAGAAGGCATGTTTTCCAGGGAATTTTTAAATGATTGTTGCGCTCATGCAGCATTTCTTGGATAGATAGGACAATACCATTACTCAAATTATACCATTACTCAAATTCATGTTGACTGCTTCGGGGAAAGGTCACGGCAGGGTTAGCTCCCGAGGGGTAATTATCAGATATGGCCAGTGCTATGTGCGGTCTTGGGTATGTGAGTTTGTTGACCAAACTGGAGTGGTCCATGGAAGAATTGGCGAGGGCCAAGGAAGAAATTGAGAGGACCACGTTGGAGAACCTGAAATTAAAGGAAGAGCTGGCGAAATTAAAAGGGGAGCCAGTGTCTGACGAAAACTCAAGCGAGTGGAAGGTGGTGAGTAGTGGGAAGACGAAGCTGGTGGTGAAGAAGTACACCAAGGATACGACAACAACGACAACAACAGCTAAGTGTACCAACCCGTTCAGTCCCTTGATAGACGAATTGGACGTTAGTACAGTCAGGGACAGGGATGACAAGGAAGGTATAAAAACTTTAATTGTTGGTGACTCACAGGTAAGGTACATGGACAGGGCCTTTTGTGGTAAAAACAAAAATAGGATGAGGGTGTGTTTGCCAGGGGCTGGGGTGGGGGATATAATTGACAGGATGGACAATATCTTGTCTGGTAATGGGAACAAACCCATTATCTGCCTCAGTGCAGGAGGCAATGATATTGGCCGGTGTAGGAGCGAGGAGCTTCTTGATAAGTTCAAGGCAGCTATAGATCGTATTAGGACTAAGGGAGGGATCCCTATCATATGCGGTGTCCTGCCTAGAAGGAGAGTTGGCAGTGAATGGTTGTCAAGGGCAGTTGGTGTCAACGACCGTCTTGGCAGATATTGCAAGTCAATATCAGTCCCATTCATTGACAACTGGGACAACTTCTATGGCAGAAGGGACCTTTATGCTAGGGATGGGGTGCACCTGTCTAGGGATGGAGTAGCAACCCTGGCTGGAGCTCTAGAGGGGGCAGTTCAAAAGATATCGAAGTCTTTAAACTGCTAGGAGAACATATGAGCACGGGGGTGGAGGAGACTGCAGTGGGAGCGGGTAAACAAAGTGAAAGATTACAGGGAAATAGTGTTAGGAATGATGACAAAACTAAATTAGACAGGGAGTTTAAAACTAAACGCGGTAAAGGGAGGACTCAGAACACGACTAACTTAAATGTATACTACGCGAACAGTAGAAGTATGAGAAACAAAATGGATGATATTAGGGCCTTGGTATGTACCGAAAAAATCGATATAATAGCATTCACTGAAACATGGATCAACCTAGACACACGTGAGTTACCAGTCGAATACCAAATTGCGGGTTACAAACTGTTCCATACCGATAGGCAGACCAGGAAAGGAGGCAGAGTAGCAATCTATGTTAGGGATAATCTGAAGTGTGAAATAAATAAGGAAATAAAAACTAAGCGGAATACAGAAACAATTCGGATAGAATTAATCGACGGTAGGGAAAAATTAATCACAGGAGTAATATATAGACCTCCCAATCTTGATAGTCAATGAGCGACTTATCTGGGATGAAATGCGCAGGGCTTCCATACACAACAAAGTCTGTATAGTAGGCGACTTTAACCTTGGCCAAATAGATTGGACTGACCTTACAGGTAACTCAGAATCAGAGGATTTTCTCGAGACGATCCAGGACTGTTTTCTAAGTCAACATATAACCGAACCCACACGGGGTAATAATATACTCGATTTAGTTCTGTCAAACAGAGAAAACCTCATTAGCAGTGTCGAGGTAGGGAACGAACTTGCAAACAGCAATCACAAAGAAATTAGATTCCAGTCAGATTTTCAGGGCAGACGTAAGGAAAATTCCACTAAAGTACCAGATTTCAGAAGGGCGGACTTTGACAGTTTAAAGAGGCAGCTGAGAGAGGGGGTGTCGCGCTTGGCCGTGAACCTGACAGATGACACCGACCTGATAACGAGATCTGAGATTGCTGAGTTCCACGACAATTAAAATAGTGAGTTACTTAATGCACAAAGACAGAACATACCATACAATAAACTCAGGTCAGACAACAATGACCCTAAATGGATAAATATTTATTTAAAGAACATCATTGGCCAAAGGAAGGCTATAGGTAGAAGGATAAATCGTGGCGAAATTCACCTCCGGGACTATTATAGGGTATTGGCGAGTAGGGTTAAAACCGAGATAAGGTAAGCAAAGAGGAATAATGAGGTAAGGATAGCAAGGGAGGGGAAGACAAACCCCAAGGGATTCTACCAAATGTATCAAACTAAAACACGAAAAAAGATTGGAACAATACGGTCAGACACTGGTGAGCTCACTGATAACGACAGAGAAATGAGCAATAATTTGAATAAATATTTTTCAACAGTTTTCACCACCGAAAATTTAAACATGATACCCGAGGCACCGACTCTATTCAGAGATAGTGAAGAAAACAAATTAAGCGAGATAGTAGTGACTAGTAACGATGTTAGTAAGCAATTAGACAAACTAAAGCCTAATAAGTCACCTGGTCCCGATGAGATATTTGCCAGAGTATTAAAGAAATGTAAGGAAGAGCTTAGTATGCCCTTAGCAAAGTTGTTTAACATGTCCTTAAAAACAGGTGTAGTACCAGAATCCTGGAGGATAGCGAATGTAATACCGATTTTCAAGAAGGGGGATAGATCACTATCCTCTAACTACCGCCCAATCAGTCTAACATCAATAGTAGGCAAATTACTGGAAGCAATCATTTCAAACTCTATTCGAAATCACCTGGAGAAGCACCGATTGATCAATGATTCCCAGCATGGCTTTACAAGCGGACGTTCTTGTCTAACTAATCTATTAACATTCTTTTCATCAGTTTTCGAATCGGTGGACGAGGGGCACAATTATGATGTGGTACATCTCGACTTTAGCAAAGCCTTCGACAGAGTCCCCACGAAAGACTAATTAGAAAGGTAGAAGCTCATGGCATCAAAGGTAACATCCTTAAATGGATTAGGGCGTGGTTACAGGACAGGAAACAGTGAGTGAGCATTAACGGCACTAAGTCCCATTGGAGCAACGTCACAAGTGGAGTTCCCCAAGGCTCAGTACTTGGACCATTGTTATTTATTATATACATAAACGACATAGATATCGGCATAGACAGCAACATAAGTAAATTTGCTGATGACACTAAAATAGGACGTGTTATTAAATCTGACGAGGACTCCGCAAAACTACAGGAAGATCTAAACAAATTTTTCGAATGGTCTGAAAAATGGCAGATGAAATTCAACGTGGACAAATGTAAAGTACTGAGTATAGGAGATGTAAACAGGGAAACCAGATACCAGATGAACAACGATGCCATAGAGAAATCCGACTGCGAGAGAGATTTAGGAGTAATGATAAGTAGGAACCTTAAGCCAAGTAAACAATGTGTTTTTGCTCGTAACAAGGCTAATAAAGTACTTGGCTTCATACAAAGGAGTGTTAGTTACAAGACTTGCGAGGTCATCCTAAAACTGTATCTTGCTCTTGTGAGACCACACCTGGATTACGCAGTTCAGTTCTGGTCACCTTATTACAGAATGGATATAGAATCCTTGGAAAGAATTCAGAGGAGAATGACAAGATTGATCCCGACATTAGGAACCTTGAGTATAGAGACAGGTTAAAGCATCTTAATTTGCACTCCCTCGAGAGACGTAGAGCGAGGGGCGACCTGATAGAGGTGTATAAGTGGAAGGCAGAGCTAAACAGAGGGGACATTACAAAGGTACTCAAACTATCCAACCAGGAGCGAACTCGTAACAATGGTTTTAAATTAGACAAATTTAGATTTAGGTGTGAAATAGGTAAACACTGGTTTGGAAACAGAGTAGTGGATGAATGGAACAAGTTACCAAATATCATCATTAACTCGAATACGCTGAATAGCTTCAAACATAGGTTGGATGCGTGTATGAGCAATATGGGTTGGGTGTAAACGGGACTGCCCAGTATGGGCCAATAGGCCCGCTGCAGTTTCCTCCATTCTTATGTCATGTCTGACACCTTGAATGTTGCCACACCTGATAGTAGTCTGCTTTTCATGATCTCCCATGAAGTAGATTTGGGGGAACTTTGCCTGCTCACCTTCCAGTGGTAAGAGGGATCCTGCTCTGTGATAGACTTGACCCTAGACTTTGAATGTGGGCATGTGTCCGTGCTCACGAACTACTCTTGTAGCTCCTAGGATGTCATATGGAAGCATGAATTGTACTTCAGTATATATTCCAAGAAGTGTTTTGACTCTGGTGTTCCCAGCATGAGAGTCTTCAATGGTTGTGGTGGTTTTTCCAAATTTTGCAGTCGTACTTTCCCATGAGAGCAGCACAGTCCAGCAGATTCTCCTTTGTACTTCTTTGCACCACAGTGTTCACATTTCTTATCCATGTTGCCAATGACAACAGAGGGTTACCTTTCATATTCTATATATAACACCATCCATCATCACTACATATAATACCACCCATCATCAGTACATATAACACCACCCATAATCACTACATATAACACCACCCATCATCACTACATATAACACCACCCATCATCACTACATATAACACCACCCATCATCACTACATATAACACCACCCACCATCACTACATATAACACCACCCATCATCACTACATATAACACCACCCATCATCACTACATATAACACCACCCATCATCACGCATACATATCACTACACACCCACCCATCATCACTACATATAACACCAACTATCATCACTAATATAATACCACCCATCATCACTTCATAACCACCCTACATATAACACCACCCATCATCACTACATATAACACCACCCATCATCACTACATATAACACCACCCATCATCACTACATATAACACCACCCATCATCACTACATATAACACCATCCATCATCATCACTACATATAACACCATCCATCTACAGATCGGTAAAGTACTTTCCGAGATTCTCGTGCGGACACACACACAAACAAACACACAGACATACTTCTTTGTTTTATATATATATAATAAATAGATAGATATATAGTATCAGTATCTCAAAAGTTTGTGCTTGATAACCAATCTGGCCGGGTTGACCACCTACCCCTTCACTCTCCCTCACGTGACCAGGTATACGTACGAGCTAGCTAGTGGACTTGCTTACCTACATTCCCGGGGTCTTGCTCACCTGGATGTGAAACCTGCTAACGCCCTCCTCACCACCCATGGCCACCTCAGGCTCGCTGACTTCGGCTGCTGCGCCAGACTTGACCAGACCGAGGAACTGGTACGTGAGTTATGATGTATTGTGTCGTGTGGAGGGATGCTGTGTGGTGACGTGTGGAGGGATGCTATGTGGTGACGTGTGGAGGGATGCTGTGTAGTGACGTGTGGAGGGATGCCGTGTGGTGAGGGATGCTGTGTGGTTACGTGTGGAGGAATACTGAGTGGTGACGTGTGGAGGGATGTTTTATGGTGTCGTGTGGATTGATGGTGTATGGTGACGTGTGGAGTGATGCTGTGTGGTGACGTGTGGGGTGATGCTGTGTGGTGACGTGTGGAGGAATACTGTGTGGTGACGTGTGGGGGATGTTCTATGGTGTCGTGTGGAGTGATGCTGTTTTGTTACGTGTGGAGGGATGCTGTGGAAGATGTGAGTGGTGACGTGTGGAGAATACTGTGTGGTGACGTGTGGAGAATACTGTGTGGTGACGTGTGGAGGATGCTGTGTGTGTCATGTGGAGGGATGGTGTATGGTGTGTATGGAGTGATGCTGTGTGGTGACGTGGAGGGATGTGTGTTGACGTGTGGAGGATGCTGTGTGTTGACGTGTGGAGGGATGCTGTATGGTGTCATGTGGAGTGATGCTGTGGTGACGTGTGGAGGGATGCTGTGTGGTGACGTGTGGAGGATGCTGTGTGGTGACGTGTGGAGGGGATGTGTGTGGGCGTGTGGAGGGATGATGTGGTGGTGACGTGTGGAGGGATGCTGTATGGTTGACATGTAGGGATGCTTGGTTTGTGATGTGTGGAGGGATGGTGTATGGTGACGTGTAGAGGTGTATGGTGATGTGTGGAGAGATGCTGTGTGATGACGTGTGGAGAGATGCTGTGTGATGACGTGTGGAGAGATGCTGTGTGGTGACGTGTGGAGAGATGCAGTGTGGTGACATGTGGAGGGGCATTGTGAGGTGACGTGTGGAAGGATGTTGTATGGTGTCGTGTGGAGGGATAGTGATTGGTGACGTGTGGAGGGACATTGTGAGGTGACGCGTGGGGCGATGGTTTATGGTGACGTGTGGAGAGGGACATTGGTGACGTGTGGAAGGATGTTGTATGGTGTCGTGTGGAGGGACATTGTAGGTGACGTGTGGGGCGATGGTTTATGGTGACCAGGCATAAGTTTGAAATATCTTTAATTTATTATCTACTCGTATATACCTATGAATTTTCAGAGTTAAATTGATAATTCATTTTTAATGCATAATAATTTCAAAACGGTAAACTGCAGGTACCGTAATGCATAATTACAGACAGGTCATCATTCCTATCTAGGTTTTTAA